AGGCCAATGAAGAAAATCAAAGAATTTCTAAATAAATGGAGAGATATACCATGTTTATGGTAGATATGTCAAGTCTCCTCAAGTTGGTGTACAAGCTTAATGCAATTCCTATTAAAATGTCAGTGTAATTTCTTATAGATATAGACAAGATTATTATAAAGCCTGTTAGGAATGGCAGAGGAACTAAGATAGCTAAAACAATTTTGAAAAAAAAGAATAAAGTAGGAGGAATTGGTTTACCCAATTTCAAGACTTACTGTATAGCTACAGTAATCAGACTGTGTGCTGTTGGTGGGGAACAGACCCCCAGATCAATGGAACAGGGTAAAGACCCACACAAAGGTGCCCAACTGGTTCTTGACAAAGATGCAAATCCACTCAGTGGAGGAGGGAATAGCCTTTTCAACAAATGGTGCTCAAGCTATATTAGATATTCATAGGCAAAACCCCCCCAAAAAACAAGCTTGATCTAAACTTCATACCCTATGTAAAACTTAACTCAAGATGCATCACAGACCTAAATATAAAATGTAAACCTATAAACTTTTTAGAAAAAAATAGGAGAAAAATCTTTGGGGTCTAGGCCTAGAGTAGACAAAGAGTTCTTGGACTTGCCGTCGAAGGTGTTGAAAAAATTGATAAATTGGATTTCATCAAAATTAAACACTTCTGCTCTGTGCAAGGCCTTGTTAAGAGGTTGAAAAGACAAGCTACAGACTGAAAATTTAAAAATGACGAGCCCTGGCCAGTGTGGCTCAGCTGGGTGAGCGTTGTCCCCAGTTCACCAAAAGGTCACCGGTTCAATTCCCAGTCGGGGCACATGCCCAGGTTGCGGGTTCGATCCCCAGTTGGGGCGCATGCAGGAGGCAACAGATCGATGTTTCTCTCTCATATCTCTCTCCTTCCCCCTCTCTCTTTCCCCCTTCTTCTCTCAATAAAAAAAAATCAATAAAACATATTGAAAAATGAATAAATAAAATTAAAAAACAATAGTGAGAAACTTACATGGCTGGTAGGAACCCTACTCAGCAATATAAAGGAACTCGCTGCTACATACACAACTTGGATGACTCTCCAGGGAATTATTCTGAGGGAAAAAGCCGATCCCAGACATATATACTGTGTGACTCCATTTCTATGATATTCTTAAAATGGCAAAATCATAGAAATGAAGAACTGATTCGTGGTTGCCAAGGGTTGGGAGGAAGTGGGTGTGACTAAAATGCACCTGGAGGGGTCACTGTGGTGACGGATGGAAACGTTCTGTACCTGACTGTCCCGGTGTCAGGATCCTGATGGATACTACACTGTATCTGCAAGATGTCACCGCTGGGGAAACCGGGTAAAGGGTCCACGGGTATTATTTCTTACAACAACTTGTGAGTCTGTAATTACCTTGAAATTAAAAACTTAATTTAAAAACAAAGAATAATAGCCTGGACAGTGTGGCTCAGCGGTTGAGCATCGACCTGTGATACAGGAGATCGAGGTTCGATTCCAGGTCAGGGCCCATGCCCGGGTTGTGGGCTCGATCCTCTGTAGGGGGCGTGCAGGAGGCAGCTGATCAATGACTCTCTCATCATTGATGTTTCTATCTCTCTCTCCCTCTCCCTTCCTCTCTCTGAAATCAATAAAGACCCCCCCAAAAAAAGAATATTAAATAAGAGGTTAAAAGCCACAAGAGTATTGCAGGGTGTGATGAAATGTGATGGGCAGGACTGCTCCTTCGCTGGGTCATCCGAGTGGGGAGCCGGACCTGGTCATAGATAAGGTCCATGGTCATAAAGGCTAAAAATTCACTTTAAAGTGAACTTGTGCAAAAAAGGGAATTTATAGAAAGTAATTATATAAGAACTTTGGTTGCCAATGACAGAAACCCAGTTCAAACTGGCCTAAGGAAAAAAAAAATCCAAAAAAGGAATTTGTGTTCCCACAACTGCAAAGCCCAGGGACGATGGCTTCAGCTCAGGGATCTAGGTCCTTTCTCCTTTCTTCTGAGTCCGCTTCATCTCAGGTTGCATGGTGGCAAGACAGTCCCCAGAAGCTCCTGGCTCAAACCCCGCTCCGGACCAAAGCAGAGCCCTGTTTCCTGAGAGCTTTAGCAAAAGTCCTGGGGTTGAGACTGGTAAGCCAGACTTTGGTGCCACGTGCCCATCCTGAGCCAATTACTGTGGCCAAAGGGAGGCGACACTCTCACTGGCCAGGCCTAGGGCATGTGCTCCACACAAATCACACGGCTGGAGAGGAGGGGACGAGTGGTCCCTTAACAGAGATGAGGGTCAGGGTAAACCAACATGGGATCCCAGAAAAAAGCCGCTTTTTCATTCTCCACCCTCAGGTTCTGAATTTCCACCCCTCTGGTTCAGACGGACACCCCAGGTTGGGCTAGAATCTTGAACTTCATTGCTCAAGGGAGGGATTATCCGATTAAACTAGCTTTGGTCAGAAGTTCAGCCCTTATCCAATCATCTGTGAACAGGGAGTGGGGTCACCTGCTGGACCCTTGGGTGGCCGAGGAAGTTCTTAGAGGGGCCAGGCTGACGCCCCACAGCTGTCTGCGACAGATCGTCAGAGCTTCTGGAAGATCTAAATGAGCTCTGTATCATGAAAGAACAGGGGGACCCTTTAATGGTTTTGGCAACGAGGGATGGATGGTGACTGGAGATGCCTGGCAGAAAGGCGGAACCCTCGCATTCCCACGCTTTCCTTCTGGGTGTTCTGACGCGGACCGAGAGGAGAGCAGAGGGTGTGGGAGGCGGGCTGTGCTCGCTTTGAGGAATGCAGGGGAGTGATGTTAAGAGACTCGAAGGGTCAGCAGAAGGGAGGCTCAGGGACAGGGCAGGGCTCGAAACAGCAAAACTGAGCCCTTGATTTGGAGGAAACAGTCATAAGGCAGAGACTGGGGAACTGACTGGGCGCCAGACCAGGTGTGACCACAGCAAGGCGGGCACACGCTCCTGGTTGCTTCTAGATGTGGTGGGACAGCTTCTCCGGCTCTGGCTGGCTCAGCAAACACATCAGGTGAGTGCAGCCAAGGGTCCCAGCTGCGCATGGAGGACGTGTGGAGCCGCGAAGGTCGTTATAAGTTAGCCTCTCAGAGGGAGAGCCGGGAAAGCGAGTCAGATAGAAGTGGGTAGTAAAGATGGTGGTGACTGTGATGGTAGGAATGATAGCAAACCTTTCAGGAACCCCGACTGTGTACCAGGCTCTGTTCTAAGAGCTTTTAAATGGATCATCTTCAATCCTTCAACACCCTGTGAGGTGGAGCTCTTGTTATGCCCATTACAATGGATGCAAGGAGAGGTGAAGCATCTTGTCCAAGGTGCTTAACACAGGAACTCAGGTAATTTAACCCTCACAGACAACCCGCTTGTAGGGTTTTTGGCCCCATCTATTCTCTTCATCAACTTCAACTAATCTCTTCACATTCCCTTCCTCCAGCATCCCAAACCTCCCACGGTTTGTGCAGTGTTCCCTGCACCTCATGCCTCCACGCCTTTGCCCCGCTCTTCCCTCTGTCTGGAATGCCCTTCCCTCTTTCTGGAATGCCCTTCCCTCTTCCTGGAATGCCCTTCCCTCTTCCTGGAATGCCCTTCCCGCTTTCTGGAATGCCCTTCCCTCTTCCTGGAATGCCCTTCCCTCTTTCTGGAATGCCCTTCCCTCTTTCTGGAATGCCCTTCCCTCTTTCTGGAATGCCCTTCCCTCTTTCTGGAATGCCCTTCCCTCTTTCTGGAATGCCCTTCCCTCTTTCTGGAATGCCCTTCCCTCTTTCTGGAATGCCCTTCCCTCTTTCTGGAATGCCCTTCCCTCTTTCTGGAATGCCCTTCCCTCTTTCTGGAATGCCCTTCCCTCTTTCTGGAATGCCCTTCCCTCTTTCTGGAATGCCCTTCCCTCTTTCTGGAATGCCCTTCCCTCTGTCTGGAATGCCCTTCCCTCTTCCTGGAATGCCCTTCCCTCTTTCTGGAATGCCCTTCCCTCTTTCTGGAATGCCCTTCCCTCTGTCTGGAATGCCCTTCCCTCTTCCTGGAATGCCCTTCCCTCTTTCTGGAATGCCCTTCCCTCTTTCTGGAATGCCCTTCCCTCTGTCTGGAATGCCCTTCCCTCTTCCTGGAATGCCCTTCCCTCTTTCTGGAATGCCCTTCCCTCTTTCTGGAATGCCCTTCCCTCTGTCTGGAATGCCCTTCCCTCTTCCTGGAATGCCCTTCCCTCTTTCTGGAATGCCCTTCCCTCTTTCTGGAATGCCCTTCCCTCTGTCTGGAATGCCCTTCCCTCTTCCTGGAATGCCCTTCCCTCTTTCTGGAATGCCCTTCCCTCTTTCTGGAATGCCCTTCCCTCTGTCTGGAATGCCCTTCCCTCTTCCTGGAATGCCCTTCCCGCTTTCTGGAATGCCCTTCCCGCTTCCTGGAATGCCCTTCCCTCTTTCTGGAATGCCCTTCCCTCTTTCTGGAATGCCCTTCCCTCTGTCTGGAATGCCCTTCCCTCTTCCTGGAATGCCCTTCCCTCTTTCTGGAATGCCCTTCCCTCTTTCTGGAATGCCCTTCCCTCTGTCTGGAATGCCCTTCCCTCTTCCTGGAATGCCCTTCCCTCTCCCTGGAATGCCCTTCCCTCTGTCTGGAATGCCCTTCCCTCTTCCTGGAATGCCCTTCCCTCTGTCTGGAATGCCCTTCCCTCTTCCTGGAATGCCCTTCCCTCTTCCTGGAATGCCCTGCCCCCTGGCAAGCCCTTCCTCGCCCCCAGACCCAGCGCAAGCACAGCTGATTGTGGTAACCCTCCTTGGGCGGGATGACTCGCTCTCTTCTTGCCCCCTCGTCATGAACTCTGCCATGTCTGCGGCATCCTGTGCAGCCAGTGCTGCCCCCGCACCAGACTGTGGGGGGCAGGACCAAGTCTTGTTGTCTCCGCCCGGCACCTGCTTAGGTCTGGCCCAGAAGAGGCAGCGCGCAGGGTGAGCGATGTCAGGTGGGCAGGTTTCACCGGCACCTCTCTCCTGTCTCCCGCAGCCTGGCGTGGGGCTCCTTTACCTGCTGCATGGCCGCCTCGGTCACCACGCTCAACTCCTACACCAAGACAGTCATTGAGTTCCGGCACAAGCGCAAGGTCTTTGAGCAGGGCTACCGGGAGGAGCCGACCTTCATAGACCCCGAGGCCATCAAGTACTTCCGGGAGAGGTCAGTGCACATGGGTCCCCTCTGGTGCCACTGGAGGCTGAAGCCCAGGGTCTGGCCTCAGTGGCCACAGGGCTCCAGTCAGAACTGGACTGAGTGGTCCCACGGAGTGTTGGGGATGGGAGGGCAGGTTGGGTGAGGCAGAGTTTGGACTCCACTATGTTGGAACATCTGGGACATTTTAATGTTTTATGGGGCATGTGACTGCCTCGAGCTTAGGGAATCGGAGCCTGAGAAACCAGGAAGGAAATCAAGTTGGAGTGTTTGCCATTTGGCTCCAGGTTTCCTAGAACCAAGACGGGCACCTAAAAGCTGAACCAAGGTTTCTGTCTTGGACTCTTATCACAGCACTGAGAAGAGGTCCCAGCAGTGGGATTGGCAATGGCCGCTGGGAGAGATCCTCGAGGCCAGGACCAACTCTGATCACCTGAGTCCTCGGTGTCCAGCTGGGCATAGAGGAGGTGACAATAAATGGTGGGTGGATGGTTGAATGGTTGGGTGGATGGATGGATGGACCAGTGCATGTGTGGATGGATGGTGGACAGTGGATGGTGGATGGGTGGATGGTGGATGGGTGGATGGTAGATGGTGGATGATGGATGATGGGTGATGGATGGGTGGATGATGGATGGTGGATGGGTGGATGGGTGGATGGTGGATGATGGGTGATGGATGGGTGGATGATGGATGGTGCATGGGTGGATGGTGGATGATGGATGGTGGATGGGTGGATGGTGGATGATGGATGATGGATGGTGGGTGATGGATGGTGGATGATGGATGGTGGATGGTGGATGGTGGATGGGTGGATGGTGGATGATGGATGGTGGATGGTGGATGGGTGGATGGTGGATGATGGATGATGGATGGTGGATGGTGGACGATGGATGGGTGGATGATGGGTGATGGATGGTGGATGATGGATGATGGATGGTGGATGGTGGATGATGGACGGTGGACGATGNATGGATGGCGGATGATGGATGATGGATGGTGGATGGTGGATGATGGACGGTGGACGATGGACGATGGATGATGGATGATGGATGGGTGGATGATGGATGGTGGATGATGGATGATGGATGATGGATGGTGGATGGTGGATGATGGATGGTGGATGATGGATGGGTGGATGATGGATGATGGATGGTGGATGGTGGATGGGTGGATGATGGATGATGGATGGTGGATGGTGGATGATGGATGGTGGATGATGGATGATGGATGGTGGATGGTGGATGGGTGGATGATGGATGATGGATGGTGGATGGTGGATGATGGATGGTGGATGATGGATGATGGATGGTGGATGGTGGATGGGTGGATGATGGATGATGGATGGTGGATGGTGGATGATGGATGGTGGATGATGGATGATGGATGGTGGATGGTGGATGGGTGGATGATGGATGATGGATGGTGGATGGTGGATGATGGATGGTGGATGATGGATGATGGATGGTGGATGGTGGATGGGTGGATGATGGATGATGGATGGTGGATGGTGGATGATGGATGGTGGATGATGGATGATGGATGGTGGATGGTGGATGGGTGGATGATGGATGATGGATGGTGGATGGTGGATGATGGATGGTGGATGATGGATGATGGATGGTGGATGGTGGATGGGTGGATGATGGATGATGGATGGTGGATGGTGGATGATGGATGGTGGATGATGGATGATGGATGGTGGATGGTGGATGATGGACGGTGGACGATGGATGGGTGGATGATGGATGGTAGATGATGGATGATGGATGGTGGATGGTGGATGATGGATGATGGATGGGTGGATGATGGATGATGGATGGTGGATGGTGGATGGTGGATGGTGGACGGTGGACGATGGATGGTGGACGATGGATGATGGATGATGGATGGTGGATGGTGGATGGGTGGATGATGGATGATGGATGGTGGATGGTGGATGATGGATGGTGGATGATGGATGATGGATGGTGGATGGTGGATGGTGGATGGTGGATGATGGATGATGGATGGTGGATGGTGGATGGTGGATGGTGGATGATGGATGATGGATGGTGGATGGTGGATGGTGGATGGTGGATGATGGATGATGGATGGTGGATGGTGGATGGTGGATGGTGGATGATGGATGATGGATGGTGGATGGTGGATGGTGGATGGTGGATGGTGGATGATGGATGGTGGATGGTGGATGGTGGATGGTGGATGGTGGATGGGGGGATGATGGATGATGGATGGTGGATGGTGGATGATGGATGGTGGATGATGGATGATGGATGGTGGATGGTGGATGGTGGATGGTGGATGATGGATGATGGATGGTGGATGGTGGATGGTGGATGGTGGATGGTGGATGATGGATGGTGGATGGTGGATGGTGGATGGTGGATGGTGGATGGGGGGATGATGGATGATGGATGGTGGATGGTGGATGATGGATGGTGGATGATGGATGATGGATGGTGGATGGTGGATGGTGGATGGTGGATGATGGATGATGGATGGTGGATGGTGGATGGTGGATGGTGGATGGTGGATGATGGATGGTGGATGGTGGATGGTGGATGGTGGATGGTGGATGGGGGGATGATGGATGATGGATGGTGGATGGTGGATGATGGATGGTGGATGATGGATGATGGATGGTGGATGGTGGATGGTGGATGGTGGATGATGGATGATGGATGGTGGATGGTGGATGGTGGATGGTGGATGGTGGATGATGGATGGTGGATGGTGGATGGTGGATGGTGGATGGTGGATGGGGGGATGATGGATGATGGATGGTGGATGGTGGATGGTGGACGATGGATGATGGATGGTGGATGGTGGATGATGGATGATGGATGGTGGATGATGGATGGTGGATGATGGATGGGTGGATGATGGATGATGGATGGTGGATGATGGATGATGGATGATTGATGGGTGGATGATGGATGGTGGATGATGGATGATGGATGGATAATGGATAACAGATGGTGGGTGGTGGGTGGTGGATGGTGGGTGGTGGGTNGATAATGGACAGCAGATGGTGGGTGGTGGGTGGTGGATGGTGGGTGGTGGGTGGTGGATGATGGATGGTGGATGATGGATGGGTGGATGATGGATGATGGATGGATAATGGATAACAGATGGATGGTGGATGGTGGATGGTGGATGATGGATGGTGGATGGGTGGATGATGGATGGTGGATGGGTGGAAGGATAGATGGGCAGGTGGTTAGCATATTTCTTGGGACTACCTCCTAAATAAGCTACCTTACCCAAATTCTTATCACAGAGCTGGCTTCTGGGGGAGTGACTGAACATGGGAAAATGCCTTTCAGTGGCAGGGAGGTGAGAGGACCCCAGGACTGAGTCTGAGGAGGAAAAGGGGGAAGGAGACTGTGAGGCTGGGCAGTGTTGAGTTGGACTCTCTGTGGGGCACGTGGAAGGGTTTCAGCCTAAGGAGTCACATGATGGGGGCCACTCAGAGACCCCTTTCTGACTGTTATAGATGCTGTTGTCTCTCCTCTGCCACATGGGCCTCCTTTCTGTTCCTTGAACTCTGCAAGCTCAACCCCGCCTGGAATGCTCACCTGGCTGGCTCACTCAGGCCTCTGCTCAGTGAGGTCTTCCTTAATCAGTTGGTCTAAACTTGCACACCCCCCAAACACCCTGTCCTAGTCACTCTTTAGCCCATTGCTAATTTTTCATAGCACCTGTACAGTCTAACATTATTCTCTTTGTTTACCTGTTTGATAGTTTGTAGACTGAGCTCCATGATAGAAAGGCTTTACTGTATTGTCACTGTATTCTGAGCACCTAGAACTGGGCCAGGCACCCAGTAGGTGCTCATTAAATTTTTGTGTGTGTGATCGACTGAACTGTTCTCTTTGGAAACCTCAGCCCTGACTGCCTCATGCCCTTTCAGCTCAAGCCCCACTATGGTCAGGCAGATTCAGCATCCCAGCACCCCTATGCCAAAGTCCCAGGTCAGGTATTCAGACCCAGGCCAGTCAGCTGTGTCCAGGGAGGCCAGGCTGACCTGGCATTCAGGCCTGCCTCGGCCACGGCTGTGGCCAGAGCATGTTCACTAGGAAGGGGGTGATGACTGGCATAGACAAGGCCCCCGGTAGGCACTTGAGAAATGTTTATTGAAACCGCATACACAGCCTGATGTCTAAACCAGTCACATTAACACAGCACCAGTTGTCACCTCGGCTGTGGGAGAGCTGGGACACCCATAGGCAACCTTGTTTTGCTGAGGCAGAAAACAGGATCGCTTTGTACCACGAAGCTGCCGTTTGCTGGTGCCCCAGTTCAAATGGTCCCAGAGACGTGGGAGAGGGCTGCTTCCCAGCACATGTGCAGAATATCACTTCACACATTCATAACTCAGCATGATGCAGAGGTTCATCAAACTTTATTTCCCTTCTCTGAGGAGAGCATTTCAGCTCAGCTGGGCTGTTCTAATTTCTTCTGTCTTTTTTCTGGTGCCTTCCTTGCAAAGAGCTCAGAGCACACGGGCAGACCTCTGCACAGGTTTGCAGGTGGCCCAGAAGCGGGGCTGAGATCCTGCCGTGGTCACCATTCCCCAACCCGCAGCCAGGGACACAGGGAAGAGAGCCACGGTCCCACCTACCCGTGTTCCCTACTCCTTAGGGTCAGGGGTGCTGTAGAAAGATCAGGGGTTTGGAGGCCCCCAACCTCAGTGAGTTTCCCAGTTCTGTCCCTTTGCTGCTGTGTGACTTGGGGCAGGGCACCACACCCCTCTGGGCCAGTTTCCTCTGACCCACAGTGGGCAAGCCAGAGCTCTTGGCCCCCTGGGGAGGCTCAAATTTCATAAGCCAGGCAATGTGCTGGGCATGGAAAGAGTTTTGTGTGTGAGAGAATTTTGTGTCCCTTCTGCTACTGATGCAAAGTATAAAGCTTGGGAATGGTTAGCTCAGCATGAGGTGGAGATGGCATTTTAGATGTTAGGACTTTAATAATCATATTAATAACCACAACAGATACGTGTTACT